CGAGTTGTATCCGCGAAACCTCAAAATTGAATGCACGTCACATTCACTCCTCGCTGTTACCGGCCAAGAAATCGATAAAATCTGTGCTCACAGATTGGATAAACACTGGGGTGATGCACGAAGCTAGAATCAGCGCCAACTTCGTACGACTGCCGAAAAATGCAAGTGCGATTTGGTCGGGTTTTCAAGTGCACCTACGAAGGGAATACTGAACAATAATTATGACAGTTTGAGTGAATGGTGTGCTGCCAGCCATTTAGGGTGTTGGTCGCTCCTTCGTTTTCTCCAGGTTTGTTGTCGCGTTTAACCAAACACAAACGAAAACCAAACTCTTCGACTGGACACTATAGTACACCAGTTTTTGTTGTTATTTGAAAATTGTGGAGAAGTTTGTTTTTCTCCAACTAGTTATTCAATCTATGCAGTTCCTGACTGTCTTCAAGAGATACCTTACTCCTTTCACTTGTCGTTTGACGCTGAATACAATGTGGGTAAATCCGCAGTTGTCTTGCCGAACGCTGGTGTTTGCTGTGGCAGCTGCCATTAGTATGTGTGTGGTTACCGTTAGGCAAACACTTCACTAGTTGAAGTGCACTATGGCTTGTATCTTGAGAGTTGCTTCTATCAACCACTTGAGCGGTATGCTGCAATTCTGCAACCAGAACGTCAATACGGCGTGCAATCCAAAGCACAGAGGCCTGTCTACTAGTATGTGGCGAAACCTCTTTCAATCTTACTATACGGAAACTCCCTGAGTACCAGTACAACACCCAGCTTTCACTAGACCTCCTTCCGTCCACGGAGCCCATGGCCTCACTCGGGACCAACGAGGTGCCTGTCACCGACTCTAAGGAAAGAATGCCCGACTTTATGCGACGCGCGTCTTGGGCTTCATACTCATTTTTTATTTCAACATGGGCTTGGCGCCCTATTGTCCGAGGTCACTCTAGCAGAATTAGTGTATGGGCGTTTGCCTAGGATATCTTACCACTCGTGGAGTTCTATCCAGGCAAGTAAAACATTGAGCTTTTTTAATTCCTTTGAGTCTCTGTTATATCCCATAACCTGTACTGTATCTAATATTTGATATCTGCGTGTGCTGCAAACGTTACTATGCGTGGCAGTTTACTGGCACAGCGAAGATCTACTTTTCCAGTTTAAATGCCCGAAACACCACAGTTGAACATCTGGAAGACAGCGTCTTAAGGAAACTCGCTGCTCATCTCCGGCTGGAGCGTTGGTAAATACTTTCTTGCGAAGGAAGAAAGGACAAAAAGCGCAAAATTGCATAACCTCAGTAGTCTGTTGAATATGCAATTAACAAGCGTTTTAGTTGATACAGTTCATCGGACACTAAGCATATAGGGCTATGGACTACATGCGCACACCAGACGAGGCTGCTCGAAAGAATCCGGTGAGCCAATTTATAGAGACTACCAAATTTCACTCGGATTCGCTTCCAAGCAACAAATTGATGGAACAATTTGAGGGCACATAAGTACGTAAGTGCATTCCATCAGTACATAGGTAATAATATACCGTGCCCGACCAATCGAACCCGCGGAAATTATAACTCCCTGCAGAAAGTAGAGGGCGGTACAATGGGTACAAGGAAGTAAACTACCAAGGAATGAAGTGAAGCGTAGAAAGAAAGAGACGACCCGAAACAGACTGTAAGGGACCGACGAACGCTTGAGAAAACTTTATTGCAAGTAACCCACTTAGTCAAAAGCTAAAGGACGCCTGTCAAAGGCTGTGTGTGTAAGCCGGGTGAGATGGCTCAGTGGTCAGAGCGCGAATTATTAATCGGATTGTCCCTGTTCGAACCCGCCCGCTTCCCCTGGACTCTCCAGGCTTGGTAACTTGACAGTATCCCAACTCTCCTGCTTTCTGAGTGAAACGGCTCACCAAACAAGGCGGGCAGCCATTTACAAAGGTAGATTCTGTTGAAGGAAGCCAGGAGCAGTGTGTCTACTTAGGTAGTATGAATAATGCAGTGCACTTGTGCCTTGAGGCGCAAGAAATGGCGAGGAGTCGGAACGGATACCAGGGTCCCCAAGGAGCTCAAAGAGAGGCATATAAATTAAACCGAATTTTGGTGAATTTCTCCCTAGGAGCCCTGCATACCACAGAAGGAAAATAGAAGGAGGCAATCCGAAAACCCATGTAGAATGTGCGTTCCCGAAACCGCGGACTCATGGGGATGAACCATAGCGCACATCGGCGTAACCCTCAGGACATTCCAACCCGTGTCGTCACTTGATGAGGCAGAAGGATTGGACACTAACCACGTGTACTCATCAGCATCCTGGCATTACTGCGGGAAAAAGCTTAATTACGGTGAATGTGACTTCTCATCAGAAGCGTGCAAGGCCTCGGAAGTTGGTAGGCCTGGCAAAACAAAGTCAGTTACTAACAAATGATTGGGGCCCGACGAGGTCCATTCAAGGACCCTGAAGAAAACGTCGTGCACATCGGAAAATCATTTACACTTGGTGTTTCGTCAGTCGCTTGACGAAGCCACCTTCCCTCTGCTTATAAGGGAGAGATTGTCACGCCAATGTACAAAACTGGTGACCGACTACCGCCTGGTGGCTACAGGCCTATAAGCCCCACTAGCGTGCCGTGCATGATGATGGAACGCATTCTGAAGCGAGCTTTCATAGATCACCGAACTTCTAGCAGCCTGATATCTCCAGCTCAACACGGATTTCTCCAAAACCGTTCTTGCGTGACGAATATGCTCATGTTTATGGACAGCTTAACCCAAGCCAAGGACGAAGGACTCATATCGGATACCATATTTTTTGACTTCTCAAAAGCATTTGATAGGGTCCCACACGTCCCGCTGTTCCACAAACTCGAGTCTTACGGGATTCAGGTGAAAATCTTTCGCTGGATCAAGGCGTTCCTATCAGACAAATCATTCCGAGCGAGAATAGGCTCGACCTATTCATCTCCAGCGCCGGTCTCCATTGGAGTTCCTCAAGGCTCCTTCTTGGGACCACTCTTGTTTCTGATCTACGTCAACGAACTCCCAGACCTTCTTGCAAGTTCATGTTTACTTTTTGCGGACAACTTGAAATCCTGGAGTTCCAATGCCAGTGCCCTCCAAGTGGATGTAGACGCTGCCAAGCAGTGGTCGTTGGAAAAGCATCTTCATCTGGATGACGAAAAGTGCATCCATATGTCATTTGGAGGAGACCCAGCGAATGCCTTTGTTATGCGTCGTTAGAAAGGACCAGAAAACATCATGGAGATAGATGCCAAAAAAGATTTGGTCATCTGAGTCTCCTCAAATTTGTCCTTCTCACTACACCATGAGAAATCGGCCCAAAAGGCATTCGTCATTTTACTGATGATCCGACGCACCTTCTCCCGTATTACTCGCATTAACTTCCAAATACTCTATGGGGCCTACGTCAGACAGCTCCTGGAGTACGCCAACCAAGTTGTCTACTTGTTCTCTTTCCCCTGGAGTACCGTCGCCTCCGAGGGGACCTAATTCTTACCTACGCCTTGTTTGAACAAAGCTTGGCAAACAGGTTTTTTACCGTTGACCCAGCAAACACCCGGCGGGAACATAGTATGAAAATCTTCAAGCTCAGGGCACACACATTCATTAGACAAAACTTTTTTTCATTTCGGATGGTAGCTGTGTGGAATGACCTGCCTCCGACGGTTGTACACGCTCCTTCTCGAACCCAATTTAAAGCACTATTAGACATTTATTTATGCGAATCCTCGCGCTTGCGAGCATACTGCCCCGCGCTGAGAACATAAAGAGCAGTGCTACACTCTTTTTTCACTTGTGCCTTTCAGGTGAACGACAGCCACTGACCGACAAGAACAGAAGCAAGAGCCTCGGCACTGTGTATCAATCCGTGAATACGTGACTCCATGAAGACTGAACTGAAAGTTGCCGTGCAACCCGCTGGATTTAAAAGCTGTGATGGATGGCTCAATTTTCAAGGACGTTAAGTTTTATGTGATAAAATGTGACCATACCGAGGTGAGTGCAATGTTTGCGAGAGAACCCAATTAAACTCTCATCTCTCGAGTTTTCATTGCTCAGTCTTGTGTGACCGTTTTATGCCCCCTCTTATAATCCATAGCTGGTTGATGTTTGCTAAATAACAACTGATCGACCTGAATCAGGAACTAAAAAAGAAGGCCCACTCCCGGTCCAACCAGCCTCTCAGCATAGTGAACATCAAGTTCAACTAATCATAAATCGGTGTCTGTAAAACATCGCAGTCAGGCACTCTCGAACCACGCTACAAATGCAGCACAGACGAACATCCAGACCTGCCCATAGCAAAACCCACCATGTCGTCCCTGATGGTGAGAACTGGGGTGAGTTCCGTTCCGTGATGAGTGTCAGTGTGTATCCTAAGACCATGGTCAGACTTGCAAGGAAGCCCAGTCCATCGCACCCACGGACCCTACATTTTGGGAGTCACTCAACAATGAAGGACGCAGAAGCCGCGCTGCTGCCTAGCAGGCATCCACTACTGAAACCGTGATTTCCCTCTCTGTCGATGTATGTTATGTCTTCGAAACACGCGTACAAGACCTCACTTCGGTCGTGCTCCTCAAAACGTTTAGGACCAGTTCAGATTTTTCACATTTCACTTCGGATATCTAGTGATCCTGACGCAATGTCTCGTGGTGTCTACGACGTCGGAGTTGTGTTCAACCCCAGGGCTGAAAGCGCCTTACAGGACTGGATCCCAGTAAACAATTGCCTTTCCACTGCGCGGTTGTCTGGCTCAATTTAGATTAACACAGCTCGATGCTGTAAACGGTGTTTGTTTGTCGTATCAGCAAACGCTCCAACAGACTTCAGTTCTGAGACTAAGAAGGACGAGTTTTATCAAGGTCTGCCGCGATTGCTTTGGTTGGTATGAAGGACGCACATAGTGATCCCGGGTGGTGATCTGCACAAATGAGATGACTGATTCCTTAGGAAGCACGGTTAGGAAGTAGGTTTGCAATAGATGCTGAGCGTACGGAAAATAGGAAGTGGATTCTTCAGCTGTGTGCAGATCACATTCCGTTCCTGGCCATTACGAACTGCGAACACTAATGCTCACACTGAGTTACTTGGAGGCCACCTTCCACAGGACAATCATGGGCTCAGGTGGACCGTGTGGCTGTCAGTCACCGATGGAGAGCCTCAGATAAGGAATGTCGTTCCTCCTGGGGCCCAGCTGGCAATTCGCTTTTCGTCAGTATTACGCATGCCTTGGGTGGCGAGAGGGCTCAAGTGGTTAGAGCGCGAGTTTACTGATCGGGAGGTCCGTGGTTCGCACTCGACCTCTGCCTCCCGATTTCCCCTGTCTAGGCCTGGGCAACCTGGTAGTATCCCAGTCCTCGTGTCTCCTTCGTGTGGCATGGCAGCTGGCACCGAAATGGTGCTACAGCTGAACGATTATTTTTATTATTACGCGTGCCAAAGCAGAGCAACTCAGCTCAGTTTCTAGGGGCCGCTACCGCTGCAAATAGGCATCTGAGACTCCACCTCACCTTAGGGCTTTTCGATACTACATGGCATCAAACCTTACATGGTGTAAGTGGTTAAAGTCTAGAGAATGTAAGCTTGTAACCAAAAACATGTTTTTTGAGGAAGAGCCTCTCTCCCTCCAATCAACTTCCATCCTTGTGTGCACCATGCACACCACGACTGCAGCGGGATTGACAATTTTGAGTCGAATCCGACCAACCATTTCGACCGGCCGTACTGCCTCTAAAATGCGTGAGTGCACACTCAGAGGTAAGCGACTGGCACCTAACACTGCGAGCTTGGAACTGGACCTCGACTCTAGACCGGCATCTAAATCGCAGACCTGAATTTGAAGAAGGATGACACTGGTTGTCTCAGCACAGTCAGACAATTACCGCACAGAAGAAGCGGAAAGAAAAGTGTCCCGGAAGGCAGAAACCAACTGAACTTGCCATCACCTGCAAGGCTTGGCCGTTCCTTCCGCGCCCGCCCACTTTCCGGTGATCGAAACTGTGAAAGCTGAAACCAACGTCTGCCGCGATTGCTTTGGTTGGTATGAAGGACGCACATAGTGATCCCGGGTGGTGATCTGCACAAATGAGATGACTGATTCCTTAGGAAGCACGGTTAGGAAGTAGGTTTGCAATAGATGCTGAGCGTACGGAAAATAGGAAGTGGATTCTTCAGCTGTGTGCAGATCACATTCCGTTCCTGGCCATTACGAACTGCGAACACTAATGCTCACACTGAGTTACTTGGAGGCCACCTTCCACAGGACAATCATGGGCTCAGGTGGACCGTGTGGCTGTCAGTCACCGATGGAGAGCCTCAGATAAGGAATGTCGTTCCTCCTGGGGCCCAGCTGGCAATTCGCTTTTCGTCAGTATTACGCATGCCTTGGGTGGCGAGAGGGCTCAAGTGGTTAGAGCGCGAGTTTACTGATCGGGAGGTCCGTGGTTCGCACTCGACCTCTGCCTCCCGATTTCCCCTGTCTAGGCCTGGGCAACCTGGTAGTATCCCAGTCCTCGTGTCTCCTTCGTGTGGCATGGCAGCTGGCACCGAAATGGTGCTACAGCTGAACGATTATTTTATTTTTATCGCGTGCCAAAGCAGAGCAACTCAGCTCAGTTTCTAGGGGCCGCTACCGCTGCAAATAGGCATCTGAGACTCCACCTCACCTTAGGGCTTTTCGATACTACATGGCATCAAACCTTACATGGTGTAAGTGGTTAAAGTCTAGAGAATGTAAGCTTGTAACCAAAAACATGTTTTTTGAGGAAGAGCCTCTCTCCCTCCAATCAACTTCCATCCTTGTGTGCACCATGCACACCACGACTGCAACGGGATTGACAATTTTGAGTGGAATCCGACCAACCATTTCGACCGGCCGTACTGCCTCTAAAATGCGTGAGTGCACACTCAGAGGTAAGCGACTGGCACCTGACACTGCGAGCTTGGAACTGGACCTCGACTCTAGACCGGCATCTAAATCGCAGACCTGAATTTGAAGAAGGATGACACTGGTTGTCTCAGCACAGTCAGACAATTACCGCACAGAAGAAGCGGAAAGAAAAGTGTCCCGGAAGGCAGAAACCAACTGAACTTGCCATCACCTGCAAGGCTTGGCCGTTCCTTCCGCGCCCGCCCACTTTCCGGTGATCGAAACTGTGAAAGCTGAAACCAACTTAACCTTGGTCCATCATTCATAACTGATCGGTTACGCACGGCTTGTTTACAAATCTGCCGCATCTAGCTAGCACTAGCTACAGTGTGAAGGCTCCGTTGATCAGAACTTTGATCCCCTCTATTATCTGTGTTCCGGAGGTCCGTTTTAAGACTATCAACTGAGACCGTTCTTACAGTTGCCTTGTCCTCACGTCCCTTTTGCTCTAGTGAAGGCCGTATTTGGCGTCATAGATGATTATAATTCGCGAATGTTGCTCGCATCAGGTCTTATGCAACTGTCTCGGTAGATGGACCTGTCAACTGAAAACAGGGTTGCTTTTAGTGTTTACCCAAATGGGTGAGTTAGAGTTGTGAGGAGTTCGCACCTCGAATGTTTTTTGATTGATTGAAATTACTTGAGGCCTCGTTTATGTAAGTTTAACGAATTTGGTATATATTGTATGTATTGTATGTATTGTATACTGTGCCTTTGTGTTGCATATGGGGGAGCACTTTTTACAGGAAGTGTTATCGCGCTAAATCTTTTTACTCGGTTTGTTTTCGTTTATTTTCTCGCAACACTGGTCTCATTATTTTTTACCCATACATTCTTAGGTAATCGATCAGCTCAAGTCTTTTGGTGCCATCCAGCATCCTTTGTTGTCAGAAAGTGTTCGATTCGCACTCAGTGATGATCCATCGCCGGTGGAAGTCGGAGAAGCCGAGGATCTGTACGCTGTTCCCGTGGTAACGGTAGGTTAACTTTTAGTTCAAAATTATTCTATTATTATTATTATTATGGATCATCCTCATTTTTTTCGTTGCTTGTAGACCGATTGGGTGAAACTCTCTGCTGAGGCTGGCCAGTTCTTAGCGTACGTCTGATTACCATCATTGTATTGTTTTGCAGATTCAAGCCGTTCCATCCGGATTTTAAAAAGCTATTCAGTGGTCTGGTTTTCACCTTAGCCGAGGTTTGTTTGATTAGTCCGTTTCACCCCCCAAATCGAATAGCTTTCAGCCAAGGATCGCTTATCCATATGGGCTACGTCTGTCATACATGGCGCCAAAGTACAACATCACCTTGATAATAGTGTTACTCATGTGATCCTTGGTCGGGCATGTGGGGTAAGTTCATGTGGACTTTTTCGCCGGACAAATGCCTGCCACCTACGTTGTTGGTATTGACGCTAGATAAATTCGTTCTATGAGCTCATCAATACTTGTTTCGTCTGCAGCGCTTCTACAAGGTGTGTCACGAGGAGCTGCGCGAGAATGGACCTGCACTAGTTACACCGGATTGGATCTTAGATTGCTTAGACAAGAAGCAGCTACTTTCCTGCGAGTCTTATCACCCAGACCTACTTAAGCTTCCGGCCGTTCCGTCTAAGCCTCCTCTACGGACCCATAAAGCTCCACAGAATGATTCCACTAGTGGCACCATTCAACAACAAGCGCAATCACAACAGGCCCATCAACCCCAGGTAACGATTTATTCCCGTGTGTTAAACTCATATTTTAGTCACGGACACTACAAGCAAATACGACGGCCGTACAAAGTACCGAAGTCACATCCGCACCGCCTGGCCCAAGCATCCAGACCCACCTGTTGGGACCTAATACACTCAAGACGCAGCAAACGGTATGCTTTTGGGAGTTCTTATGGAGCGAAAGCTACTCACAGTGTGCCTTAAGCGCGAAATATTTCTTCAGCGCCTAAACTTGCAAATTTTTCTCACTTTTTCGAAGTATATGCAGAGCTGCTGAATTGGCTTTTATCCAGTGTCTGCCTAATAAATTCGTGGCTGATTTTTCTACACTTTCAGGCTACTTAGGGATACTTTGAACTCTTGATTCTAAAAAATGGGAGCGGAATCTACTCACATTTTTTCCAACATCTGGCTCTGGTTCATGATCTGGTTGATAACTTTGTTGGATGATCTGTCTCTGAAGTAATACAATGTTAGGGCATGTCATCCTATCTTTATGAATGCTTGGCATGTAAGATGACAGCAAGTGATTCACCAAATGGATATAAAATACTCATCAGTTCGCCTAGATCACACCTTAGTAGTTTTTGCTATAAGAACATATGGTGGATCAACGTATATGACTTCTTTGTTCAAGTTCACCTGCGCTCGCGTTGCGACTGACTATCATGCATTTGGTGTGGTGAGCAAGACACATGCTCACAATTTTTAGTTCCAGACTAAAAAGGAGCTAGAACGGGACGTCTATTTTGCCGCATTAGGACTTGAATTTGGTGCACTTGTTAATGGTTCCTACGGCACGGTTTTCGTTTCCAATCTTTTAGAGATGTACGTCTCCGCAATTATACTAATAATAGGTTGTTTTGGGCTCCTTTATTTCTTACTATACCCTGGATACAAAATAAGGGGACGGTCAAGTTGACCGAGGTAGCCGTGGTTATAACGCATCTCTAGCTTTTTTCTCGCTTGTTAGACAACCTTGGGCCACCACGTTCCTTGCTTTCTTCGAAGGCTGTGCGTTAACGGTGTACTAAGGTGGAGCATCTGATTTGGTTTGACCCATTGCGCTATGGGTTCACAGCTAGTACCCATGGGAATAGTCTGTTAGGCTGTACTTTTCTGTTGGTGGCTCAAGTTGTAGTAACCGTACACTCGCAAAATCCACGCACTGCCCCTCACAACTCACTGACAGTATCGTTTCCAATGGTGATGAAACGTTGTCAATCGAATTACACAGCTCAGCGAGCATATAATCGACCAGGATACTGAGTATTCACCGTTGCACTGTCCCTTACCGGTTTCGTTCTTTGTTTTGTCACGTTGGGCTGTCGTGTAAAGCAGAATTTGATCTATCTTATCGTCTTACTGATGCTTCAAGAGTACGTTTTAAGTGGACTATTACTTAATTTACTTCAATTCTAATTTCTGTTCATCAGGGTCCGCGGTTACCGGAACAACAACAGTACGTGGGAGTCAACCCAGAAAAACCTGGCAGGGGCGAGAGTCATATGCGTTCAGCTCCAGGTCGAGGTGGTCTTGCCGTGAAAAGGGCTGAACAGGAACGGAAAATGCAACAGCAACATCAGTTCCAGATGCAGCAACCGAGGTTTGATACATCCGCACCTACTGGTCAGCCTCGCTATGTATCGGCATCGCCAAATACCCAGAGGTTACCGTCTGCACGGTTTACAGGGCATTACGAACAGGTGAGGTTTCTGCAATCTGCTGCATACTGTCTCATCAGGTCACTCCAATTCAACGGGACACTCATTTTTACTCACTTCTTTCAGATGGAGTACTCAGTAGCTGTGCTAATAGGTTGTCACAAGCTCCTGACTTTTGTGACATTAAACTGTCTAGCGTAACACCTTTTATCGGTTAAAATAGGAGCATGGAACCCTACAAGTGGCCCGAACTTTGGTCTGTTACCAGTGATTTTGTCCTGGTTGGCCGGGTCCATGGTCATTTGTTGCTTCGTGTATTCACTCACTCCGTGATGGGTGATGCCTATCTGTGGATTTTCGTTATCGTCTAGCGTGATTGGTCCGAAATGCAATGAAGGAATATGCTAGTAAATATATTTGTAAGGTATAGGTGGCTTAGGATCTTACAGGGTGTGGAGCTTTCAGACTGCATGCACTTGGTACTCTGTAGGCACTGGGCTGTAGGTGCTCTATTGACAAGTGGTTCTAAGGACAAATGGATTAATTAACATCACTAATTAAGTAGACCCTACAATCAACAATGCGCAATCGGTAGGAATAGAAAAAGGGATAGTGAGACAGCAGGGCTTTCTGGAAACAATAGCGAGTAAGTACCAACCGATGTACAGACGTACAGCTGCGGGCAGTCAGACAGCGTGAATAGGCGGTATACAAGGCACAGAAGATAGTACTTTCGGGGGGTACCTCCTTATCAAAAGAGAAACGGGTATTGGGTGAATTTGGCACATTAAATATGCGCACAGTCTAGCTGACATCGTGATAAATTGATGCGTGCTGCCAAATGCGCACTTAAACCCCTTCTAAACAAAATCTCAAGTACTATCAGGTAGGATGCAATACAAGGTAAGACAAAAATAGATCTGCCTTGGAAGTCGAGTTGCAGTGGTGTACAGCGTTCCTGTTTGTCCTCCGAGGGTTCCGAGGTCGATCTCCGGGCCACCCATTTTCCCGTCGGAGCAGACACTCGAAATTTTCAAGCGAAAACGGACAGGCCACAAAGTCTCGACTGTTAATTATAGGGTAAGCAAACCTTAAGCAGGAAGGAAAAGAACCGGGTAACGAGCGGCAAGGAAATAAAACGACGTTACGGTAAGCAGGCATAAGTCACGCTACTTATGATTAGTCAAACATAGAAAAAAGAACCACCAATTGCCGTTGGTTCACAAGAGAAACCAGCAAGTAATAATACTAAACAATAATAATGATAATCATTCAGACGTAACACCACTTTGGTGCATAGATGCTACGTCGCCCAAAGGAAGCGCTAAGTAATATAAGTTTGCCCAAGCCTAGCCAGGAGCGGTTGGGACGCTAAGTTTGGGATCGAGTCATGGACCTTTGGTTAATCAATTCACTGCTTCACCACTGAGCTGTCTTGAGCCTTATTATCACGTTTTCGTACACGCATGCCCTGGTCTCTTCCTCTAACTGAAGTTATCCAGTTTTCTGCTATTATTACAAGGGAGGTGCAGTGTTTTTGTTGGGCGCCTCAACATTTTCTGTCACTATTTTCTGTATTTTCTGCATTATAACGTCTCATGATTCATTTTCACTCTGCCTTTCATCCTCGCAAAGCAGCGATTTGCCACCAGCATGCCAGGCGTATTGGATCCGAACGTGGGTTCTGGTGAGTCCTTTTTTCATTTGTGTTTTTCAGCTTGGTTCGGTGTTTCTCAGCGGAGGGATCCACCCTTATAGAACTTGAAAGGCTTAGAGGAAGCTGTAGGCTCTGCAATCGAATGTGCTGAGTACTGTAATGCCTATTATTAATCTTCTCCATCTGACGTTTGAGGAGCTCGACTCTTCTCCCTATTAACTTGCGCCGTCTTTTCTTTTCTCTTCTGTAAGCCATCGTCGTCTTGTCCATCCTTGATGTCTAATCTGTGGCTAGGATGCGGGTGTTGGCACTGCCAGAAGCATTTAACGGAAACGCCTTAGAAACTCGGGGGTCGAAAGGGGCTGCAAGAATTCTTCGTTCGTCACCGTATCGCTACCCTACTTGGAATAAGTCCACCGAAATCATAATGATAAAGGGGACCCGACGAAAGATTAATCTTCATGGGGAAAGCCACCACATAATATGACATATTCGGGCCCAGTTTGAGGATAAAATGAGAGTACATAGCTTGTTCCGCTTGTTTTACTATATAATTCGACCTTGCCACAGTAATAGTTTGTTCATCCAAACCATGCACGTAAGATTTTCACCCGTTGGCCATGCCATCTGACGGACCTGTCAAGAGCGATTTTAAGCTCCCATTTTTTGAGTTCCATATGAGTTAGTTCCGTCTTATTTATTCCAGCCTTGATTTACCCTTGTTTATTAAATAACAATGAGGGAACAGCTGAGTCCCGCTTTATCCCCGCCTTGTTATGTGTATTTGTCAATCGAAGTGTAGCCAGCTGTAATAGCTTTAAAGGGATGATGAACTTCAGCGAGAACCCACTGAGTTTGCTCACGGGTTGAGTTTAGGAAACATGGAAATGTACCGGAAAATATAAGGCGCCAGTCAATTTTATTCTCCAATTTGTTTCGTTTTCGTCTATCCTCGAAGCGATTATGAAAACCGGACTCACTGGAGTATGCGTCGCACATCGCAGCGAAAAACCTTTAGTTGGTCGCCCAGAATCCAGTTAGTCCAGCGTATCCGATCGCATAGGAATACAGCTCCTCACACTATCAACAATATATAAGTAGCTCAGTGGAAGAATAAACTTCACCCGACGAGTGAAACTTCTGTCTGAGAAGTCGTTGCTCGAGGAGCCAGTGAACACGTGTGACCGCGTGATGTGGATCCCGTGATTGAAGGATGAGCGGCGCTATATCCTGTCTAAGTGCGAGTTAATCACATTGCTGATCAGCCACTCGTGGCCGAACGGTCAAGTGTTCACACTACTAGCCGGGAGGTCGCGGGTTCGAGACTCTTCGGAGTTTCGTGAGATGCGCACTGCTGATGATTCCCAATAAGGATGAAACAGCTGTACACTGCTTCTCGGCTTTTCAGCATAGATAGGCTTCACTTACAGGACGAAATCTCCACAATAATTAGAATATAGTTGAATCGACTTAGCAACTGGAAATACTGCACCATTCAATTACGGCTTAATGTCATCATCGACAGCGTAGCATCAGTGTCCAACACTTATGCTCTGCTGCCGTACGCCTCATACCTGAGGATGGTGGTGGCTACAAATGCGACAGAAACTGTGACGTCCATCGTCGCTTTCTTGAGGACGTCTGTTATATACGGGTACTTTTCAGTCTGCTGCACATGCTGTCTGCAATACAGCAGTTCAGCCGGTTGAGATGTCCCTGTATCCTCCCTCCGCTGACCTAGCTCACCGTAGAGAACATGATACACCCCTAGTCTGGCTTGCGTATTCATCTAGTTGGGGATGATATTCTTTGTATTGACTGGATCTGTCTGCCAATATTCAATGAAAGGACTGTCAGAAGCTGTCAACTTTGTGTCCTGCATTGCGTGCTTTAATCCTTGAATCAACCATCATTTCAGTTATATGTTCTTCGACTAGCGAGGTTCCGGTTCATGTGCACTTGTTCCACGGGGCTGTACACTCCCCATGTGGTGGCTGAACCGGTGATTGCATATTTTTTCCCGGGACCTACCTTTTTCATTCCAGTTGGTCTGCTGACGATACCAGGAACAAATCTGGCCAGAGGACAGGAGAATCAACACATGTTAGCAACACAGTCTCCATCTGGACATGGAACGCTATTGATGTCTGGGTCAAGTCTCCAGCAGCACATGCCACAAACATGCACGGGCCCGGCAACAGGTGGTGGAGGAGTGCATCACGGAAAAGGAGGAAAGAGCAAATCAAGCAAGCACGTACAAGAGCAAAATCTGAACGAGGAAGAGAAGGACGCAATCGTGTTTCAATATGTAAAAAATATACTTAGCTCTCAAAATTTGGCTGTTCGGGTGAGTCTCACCTAAAGTTACACTTTTTTTGGAAGCTGTTCAACATTCGACCAGTTGCTTTTTCGCATCCGGTAAAGGCCTTAACGGTACTTCAAAAAGAAGTAAGACCTTTCCTCCTCGAAGGTTGCGTACCAATCTCAAAGAAAAGACGCTCAAATGACTAATACCCTCATGTCAGCTGACTGCTCCAGCTGTTGTTTCGTGTTGCTCATGTTTCAGCATGATCTGGCGTATACGTTTTCCTATCATCTACTGACTACGACGTTTTCCAACCAGCTCAATCGACTGAGAATATGTTGAACCCGGAAATCAGCTTTTGTGACAGTTTGGAAATTCACGTTCTGTTCTGTTTTTTATGGGCAGCTACCTTTGTTCTCGGATGTTGCTGAATCAGCAAAGTATCCGTCTTTTCGACGCGGATCGCTCATTATTTACTTACTAGTTTCGATTGGGGACCCAAGCACTGCGGATCCATTATCAGTTCGATATCTGACCACGCTTGTTCCATGGTCTATGTTTTTTATTAGTGTAGTTTAGCTTTGTGATGCACTATGATTTTCTGTGGACTTTCCTGCCAGTTCCGTTGAATTCACTGCATCCGCCGTATTTATTCACTGTCAGGATAATCCCACAACTAGAGCGTCCGGGGCGGATGTTGGACCGGCCGGTGCAGTTTCAGCGTCAAGTTCTTCCGGATCTGGTCATCTTGGTAATCAGACCGGAGTTGGTTTGTGCCCTACTTCTGGTCTGGTTTCTGCAAACACTTTGTCATCAGTCGGTAGCCAGTCTGCACCGGGAACTCCACGCAAATCCAAGTCTCCGAAATCTCCGGGTCGTGCCAATCCTAGTGCTATCGGTTGTGCTGGTAGCGGTCCCAGAGCTTCTCCGAAGGCGTCCCCCAAATCCAAAACTAACACAATGACCAAAGTGCTCTCTTCCCCACAGCAGCAGCAACAGCAACAGCAACAACAGTCTTCAATTATGCTGACTGGCGGGCATGCTGGTAGTACCCCTCCAGTGTTGGTAGCAGGCCAGTTGCATCACGTTCCAGGACGTCAGCTCAGTGCTACAGGACCGCAACCTACACCACAGCAACATCAGCAACAGGTACAGCGTCCCGTCCAACACTTTTTAGCTGCTGGCAATTTACCGCCACCCAGTCCACTTCATCAACAGCAGCAACAACAGCAACAAGTTGTCCCAGGCGCCCCAGCATACATAGTTCAGAGACATCCTGGTGGTCAGCTGTTAGCCAGTGTGTCCCGACAACCCATCTCATCCCAACTGCATCCACAAGCGGTTGCGACACATGGTATGTACTTTGCTTCACATTTATGGGTACTATGTTTTGCCACCCTAATTCTCCCCTAATTCCATGTAATTAATTTACAATGTAGTGCCACTTACACATTAATCGCACCAGGTATGAAGATTCCGGTGTGTGGCGGCATCTTGCGTGCGCTTTAATCATTGTGACTGAGCCATCCTCCGGGCAATGCTTCAATTGACTTCTTATCTCCATAATCGACATAGATAGATAGTCCCCCTTTCGATTGCAGCCCGTGTATCGTATTCCCAGTTTGATCTACCGACATTGATTTGGCCACCTTCCAACGGAAGGCCTACATTATGGGGCGAAATATGTGACACATGCATCTGAACAACCGTGATTTACTTGAATAATAGGCTACCCTGTTAGTTTGGATGTAGTCCTTTGAAACAAGCTAAAACCGCAGAACTCCCCGTAGTTAAAAACGACATGGCTCACTAGTTAGAGAGCGGATTTACTGACTGGAAGGTCAGCGGTTCGAAATTGACCCCCGCCTCTGGACTTCCCCTGTCTAGGCTTGGGCAACCTGGCAGTATCCCAGCCCTCGTGCCAATATACGTCTCCAACGAGGCACACGAGCATTATCAGAAAAGCCGACCATCATCACCCAGCTCTTCAGGATGTGCTTCGCACTCACAAAGTGCAAAGTCGTGCTACAGGACGTACAGTCATTGAACATGCCTCTAATAATTTGAGTGACACTAGAAATTGTCGAGCGCCATACGTATCTCGGAAGTTTTCCTAACTCTGACTTTAGTGTAGCAGGTGAAGTCAACATAGACAATTACGTTTCCCAGTTGGTGCCACTGATGGCCTCAAAAAGGGGTATCACCGAGTCTCAAAGGCTATGTGTGTTAGACTACAGTACGGGCTGCTGTGAAACTTTACCACTTCGAGTGGAGGATGAGGCATCTTCAGGTCCTTGACCACCGATGTCTCTGAAATGTAGCTGGAGCCAGTAAATTCATGTGGAATTGATCAGCAGACGCTAACTCAATCAAGGACTATCCAGCACCGCAAGCTAAGCTAACTGCGTCGTGTGCTACGCATGTCGAGTTACCGTCTGCCGTGAAGGAAGCTGTTCTCCATGCCTGATTCGGAGGCGTGGACAGAGTCTGATATGGCAGAGGGGAATGTGGGATGATACCGAAATTCTGTGTGCCTTGTTGCTCTTCGCATTCTAAAGTGGGACGAACGTGCTTGACTGCGGACACTTAAATATATGGCGAATAACTGATGTCCAGATTGTATGACTGAGATTTAGAGATGTAGATACAGGTATTTGTCGTAGCTTAACCATTGTTCCCCCTGCCTGTCCCATTCCCTTTTTTCCATCGTAATACTTCATTCCAGCAAACCGACATGGCAGCGTTCTTCTCTAGCGCTGCTTGCAGTGACGATGATGGCAATGATGCCACACGATTCTGTAGGAACAATCCACAAACTCCTCTTCTCCTAGTCCATACGAATTTATTTTGAAGGTGGGGAACTGGTGGCCTCGTACAACTGATTCTTTCACAGGAAAATATCAGCGGTGCATATCTCACAGGTTGTGACTATACACCAGGGCCTTGTATTATCAAGCTGTTCTACTTCATCCCACCATCATTTCGTTGCCCGTTTGTTTAAGTTGACTTCACTTTAGGTTCCAGAACAAGTTTGATTGTTCCTAAACTTTTTTTTTCACGCACCTCAAACTCTTGAACAACTGCGCAGCAGGTCAGTATCAACGAACTGGTGGGGTTCTTGCGACAGTGTCGACGTCAAGCCCGGGGTCTTCCGCTGTCGCTGTTCAGCCTTCGGGGCAGCAAATGCAACAGCCTCAGCGGCAGTTTGCCCAAGCACAGTTACAGCAGCAACAACAACCTACTTTGTTTGTGAGAACATCACGACAGATCTACCAGGTACGGTTTTTATTTAGCATGTCTCCCAAACCGGCCAATCTTCGAAGCGGATCTGCGCGAATTTCTTCTTAGGAGTTACTCTTGATTTTTGGTATATTAGTGCACATTGTGGTTTCTGTCTCACTGAACGACCTGTATTTATGCACCAATATATCAGCTCTCGCCTCCAATGCACAACTACCTACCCTACTTCCCCAGATCGTCGATGAACGAAATTGTGACAGCTACAATCACAGCTACAATCTTACCGCTGATAGTGATTATTGTTATTATTATTATTATTACGATACCCCGCTTTAAGGAAAACTTGATTCATACTAGATCGTCTCGTGTGACGCCGCATGTCAGGCGTCATAGCGCTGCATCTCGGAGTATAAGACATACGGGTTTGAGATTTGAGCTGAGTTTGTCACATGCACGCGCACATTTCAGTGACTACCAATTCACAGGGAATTTTAAAGATGTGAATTTTTTAACAGTGCTAGATGGCTTGCTTTTTCCTGATGGACGTTTGAATTGAACACAGTAAATGTGGTGCTATTTGCCGTTTCTTGGCATATCTATTCGGTGGGCCCCAATCATTCCACGGTTTGATATAATACAATTCTCTCAGTACCAATCCATCATATTGGCTTTTACTATTATACCTCATGCGGCTCAGCCTGTACAGTAATATATGAACAAATACGTATATATATATATATAATCATCCTATTGGCGGACAAGCTCAGGCACCCCACACCGCTTATCAGCATCAACAAGTTCAGCGACAACAACCACAACAGCAACTCCCGTGTTCACAGCAGAATCAAAATATAACATCACAGGTCCTACTACAACCTTCTTCCGGCCATCAGCTTATTCAAATGAAGGCCCCCAATGCTGCCCCAACTCAGCAACAACCGCAACACCAGTTCGTTGAAACCAATAGCAGCGGTGCTGGTGGAGTTTGTCTAACGCAAGCTGCTCCCGCCGGCTTTGTCGGCCGCACCCAACAACAACAACAACAGCATCTGACCACTGCCGGCTCACCTCATCAACAGGCGGCTACGGTGGTGAATAGACGCGTTCATCCGGCGCAGCCCACCTCTGTAGGCCGAATATCACCCACTCCTCCAACACGCTCACAGACCCCTCAGGCCTATTTGCATCAGCAGCCCGGTCAACAACCACCGACTCCGCAACCACAGCAACAAAAAGTACAACTTTCCCTCCCCACCGCCCAGTACCAATCTGTTCAAGGTTATTCACATTCCCAACAACCGCAACAGATCATATTTCAGTCACCCACGGGACAGCAGCTGATTGCACATCACCAGCCAGTTTCTGCCACGGTACGTATCTCAGAGAACTGATATTTAGTCAGAGACACTAGTGATCTTACTATTTCATATTTCCTGTCGTTACTTTTGTTTTAATTGCACTGAGCTTGGCCTGTCGTATGACGTAAATCAACCCGAATTGCCGGACTGATGGACAGAGCACAATAAGCAAATAAAATCCAAAATCAAATGGATTTTTTCTTCACACACATGTTCACTCGTGTGGGCTCATCTCTTCAACGGAATCGGGAAATCAGTGGCATTGGAAGAAGTACATGATGGAGATACAATGATGCGACCGTGTTCACTACGAACCACATACAGACAACCGTGTATGTTGTTATATCCTGTCTTCAGTTGACGTCGCCTTGGGCATGTCTTCTGTCCTCTTCTTGAGGATACTTCCAATCATGTTTGGTACTACTCTTGGTGAATCGAAGCCCACTTCATAGGAGTTTGAAAAATAGTAGTCTACGTCACTCCTTAAATATTACTCATAAATCACTGATGTAGTTCTCTTCATTTTCCTTCAGGGCAATAACCTCATAGAGATCAACTAAACACTCGTTCAAGAAAGCAGATGTCAACTTTCTAATTTTTTTCACTTACGCCTGTGGGTAGAATGGATAATAATAATAAGGTGGAAAAAATCTTTCACTTAGCAACACAATAACCCCTAGAGGGACCTAGTCCGACCACGTTCAATTCCTCTTCCCCGGTTCAGTAGGACAACTATTCGGACGCGATAATTCAGATGCGTCCAGCGTGCGCTGGTGGACTTGTGGGACCACACTCGCCTTACATGTCTGATATCCGGAATTCACACTCCGGTGAGCTCTAAAAAGAGCAAACATTGACTCCATTGCTTCTTTCCTTTGATGTGGATTCACCAAAATAATTGCTCCAAGATTGGAAGATTACCGTTCTTACGAGAATGATATGAACGTGTATCCCTAATCCTTATGAGAATCTTAATGCTGAATCCAAAATGCTAGATCCAAAAATGTATCTGAACGTTGAACGGCCTGTGATCACAGGTCGTCACGCCCACGCCACTGGTGACGCAGATTCATAAAGGCTGCTCTGGCCTTCCAGTTCCGGATGAAAATATCATCTTTCGCAAGACCACCGGGACTGATACAGCTGCCCAGGTAAACAAATTTGTTTACTACCTCAATTGGTTCATCCGCCAGCATGAGGTTGGGGTTCGAGCCAACCAAGTCTTGCAGTAGCACTTTACACTTTGCGGATGTGAAGCGCATGCCAAACCATAAGGCGGAATTATTTAGATTATTTAATATTGTTCGCATCAAGACGGGGTCAGATCCAAGAAGAGTTATGTCGTCTGTGTACTCGATACCCGTGAGCAGACGCCCAGAGAGCACTTCGACCCCACAGGCATTAGAAGCTGGTAGTGAGTCTTTCATGGTCATGTCAATGACGAAGTTGAAAAAGAAGGATGGAAGAGGACAGCCCTGTCTGACACCAATTAATGTGGTGAACTCAGATGAGAGCTTCTCATAGACCTTCACGAGAGTACATCGGCTTAAGGAGTGTCAGGAATTTATGGGGGACACATTTGCTTCGCAGACATTGCCATAGTGCCTAACGGTCCACAGAGTCAAAGGAAGCTTTCAGATCAAGAAACACAATCATTTTTTGTTGCAGGAAGCAGTGTCGCTGTTACAGAATTTATCGGAGGATGAAAATGTGTTCGATGCATCGTATTGCAGAATGGGACCCAGCTTGGTTTTCGCGGATCTGTCTCTCCCTGTGTTCAGTCAACCTTCGAAGGTTAAGACCAGAGAGCACCCTCGATGCCACAGCTAACAGGCTGATACCATTGTGGTTTTCACACAGTGTCCGCGTACCCTTTTTGAAGATAGGGACATGCCCCATTCTGCAGGTACCTTCTCTTCGTTCCATATAGCACCAATAATCTTCGTCAGATGGATCGCCAGGAGTTCCCCGCCTTCTTTGAAGACGGCTGGATACAAACCGTTCGGTCCTGTTACCTTCTTATTTTTCGGTACGGCTATTTCGTACTTTATTTCCTCTTTTGACGGGCGACCAATGTTTACATTCCATTTAGCTGTATACACTGTCTCTACAGGTTGTGTTGCAGTAGGCCAGCTGAACTGTTCTTCGAAGTGTTCGGCCCATCTTTCCAGTCGGCGTTTTTGTGAGTGAATTGGTGAGCCATCTTTTTCACTTACCGTTTGGCTGACCGTTGCTTTCATGGGGCCACTCGATCGTATCAGTTTCCCGAAGGAAAACCTCCATCTCCCGAGCTTTCGATTGGAATGGTTTCTCTCGTGGGCGGTTGATAATTGGTGAACCCTAGAATTTGTACTCCATTCATTTATAGGTTGACCCTGACCTTTGGCGAAGCAGGTCAGTTGGGCTCAGATTTAAGATCAAAGAAGTCCACGGCACATGTACGACGGATGATTGCTGTTTTTGCTGTTTAGAAGCTATGGAAACCTTGATCCTATATAGGACCAAACTTCGCTACCTTTCTGCCTTTTCCAGGCGAATATCTTGAGGTAATCATCCCACATGACATGACGTCTCAATAATGTCACCAGTGTTCTACTGACCTCTTATAAGTGAGCAATACACTATCTAACGTATGACAACGGTAGGAACCCATTTGATCAAACTGCAATGCGAAGAATCCGTTTGGTATTCCAGAGGCATCAATCGCAGGTCTGTCTAATGATTACGCGCGGAAAGATTATCACCTGCGAGGTTTAGATCAATCGGCACTCCCCTCGGTCATTCAACTGAAGTAAAAGTCAGCGTACATTACACCAGTTTTCAGATCACCTACCCCGTTTTGTTTGGTTGCCTCTCCGCCTGTTCAGGATAGCTGATTCCTCGTCTATTCTACCCGTTTTACGGGATCCTGCTGATTTTCAGTTCAAGTGATGATAGGTTAACGTTGTTTACCCATAGAACTATCGTCAATGTTATTTCCAATTGTATTAGCTCGTGACTAACTTCCTTACGTTTGTAACGAAGAGAATCTTGTTTTTGGTTATTCATACTATGTGCACTGAAAGATCGTATACCAGGTCGCTGCGTACCAGGTACTGGGTTAGACTCAATAGAGTTCAGAGGAATTCTCCCAACAGAAATGTGATCGGATCCTGAAAACGTCAGTCCTACAAAGGTTTTAGCCACACAACTTAGTTTTCCAACCAAGTTTCACGCCTTAATACTTTTAGCCCTTAGGGCCGGCTTATCCTATGTAAATGCAAGTGATCAGGTAGTCGTTCTGTAGCTTAGATCGGCTATTGTTCAACGCACTTTCAATAGTTCGTTCGCATTCTGTTAAAACCCATTCTACTTCAATGGCCAGGTTGCGCGCGGTGCCATCACTCCGTCCTCCATACCTCCTGGTGGTGTACTTTTGCGCTCAGTGGACACGCAGCATGTCGGTCCCATGAGCACTCTTGCCGGTGGGATTTCAACTGGTCAGTCTCATCTGGTAGCATTTTCGTCTGGAGGCCAACCGGCAGGGCCGCATATGGTGAATGGGATCACTGCTGAACACGGTGGGGTAATATTCCAGACTAATCCCCAGACCCAAGCTGCCCACCACACCGGTCATCAGACTCACCACCCCTTAATGCCACAGCAACAACAGCCAGCTTATGTGCATCAACAACAAACAGGTATGTCCAACATTTATCGCCTTCCTCTTTTACAGTAGTCACTTGTTCTGAGCCGACCTGTTGCTGTGAAAGAAAATTCGGCTTCTTGATTGCTAGAATGAAGCATTCCAATCTTCATGTTCCAACTTGCTCGCTTAGACAACTAGGGTCCTTCAGCATCTCTGTTCCATTATTTCGTACAGATTATATTACAGCTTTGTTCCGAACGAATACCACTTACTCCTGGAAGGCAACACTTGCCTCTTTCGATATTAGAATACGGGATTCCTCGCCGCCCAGTATCATCTGACTATTCAGTCAGATTTTTTTCACGCTCCCAACAAGCGTACTTTCAATAGTAGTTCAGTTTTCAGCTTAAGGCAATCCCCATTTAGAATGTTATTTACATCGTTTTACCTTTCAGGTGTGTCGGTGACAAGCCAACCAGGAAAGCTTGGTCAAATTACAGCGCAACAACAACAACAACCTACTCTGGTTCGTTCTAATCCCGCCTTGATTGGGCCAAACCCGAATGCAACCTTTTATCATTCAGGAATGGGAGGCTCGGGCAGTTTGGCACCGCACAACTTGTCACCACAGAATCAACCGGCTCTGCTGCGTGCCGGTCAACCACATGCACAGCATCCTCAGCATCAAAGTCCTGGACAAACCTTTCAACTACGGCCTGCACAAGCTCCCTTGGCTACTCCACCACAGACACCTACCAGACAGGCGCAATATGCTCAGTTTCCAGGTTCAGGTCAGCCACCTTCGGCTCCCGCTGCAGCTTCTACCATTCCCATTCCCCCTGCTTATTACGGACACGAGGGATCTCCTAAACCCACGAGACCAGAAGAATGCCTTGTTGGGTGTGTTCTGTTGTTGCTTGGTTATAGAAATGCCGGAGAGTCACAACGGGCACTATGGCGCCGCATCATGCGTTCTTACGGTGCTGAGATGGTGCTTGCCTACGACCCAACTCGAGTGACACACTTAGTAATTGACTGTCAATTGGAAGAACCAGATATTGTCAAGCAGGTGAGCAAATCCACAGTCTATTGCTTGGCCTCCTCTTGCTTCTCATTTTCTGTTATTTTGATGACAAATCGGTTACGCCTATTGGATTCAGGGAAATTGGAGTTCCCACGCTAGAATTATTTCCAGTTATTTGGTGTTTCAAACCGTCGCGTTGCTCTAACGCTTGGAGAATTTATCCAGTGTGTTTTCAATAAGGCTAAGCGGATTGATGTGGTTTATTTGTTTTTGTATCTTCACATGTATTCACACTGTATTTACTTCGAACTGAAATCCGTGAAGCAACTTGCCCCGGTTTAGTTTAGATGGAGACTCGACTGAATTTTCTGCACAAGGCTACCTCATGTTTCAGTTCATAAGATATTCAGTGCATCGCAACAGATTGTATATACGGAACACACTACCCATAAGTTTCCTAAAAACGGCGCATGACTAGCTGTGCTGTTCTTGGGGCTCGTAAGGTAGGTATGGGTTCCCAGCTCCCAGCAACCTTACGTTCCCCCTGAACTGAAATTGTGCGCGTACCAAATGAAACATTCAGGTCCACAGTATCGCTAATCGCGTCCAACTTTGATTCTGGCTGGCAGAAACTCGGTAACTATGCCTACCTGATGTGTTCGGAGATGGTGAAACTGATTGCGGGTTTTCAGAGAAACTTCAGCAGATTTATGAGCAGTGTGTTCCTCCTAGGCAAGTCACTCAATCGTTTCTGTGTATCAAGAAGCACTCTATGCAGCAAGCGATAAAAATTCTCCAAACAAGCGAAGCATCGTTGTTAAATACTGAAGTCATGCTGTCCATGATGATGGTGATGATGGTGCAGCTTTTGCTTTGAGAGTACAGTTTACACAATACTCACTTTAGATATATCAGCATAATATCCATGTGAAGCACGTTATGCTCGACGACGATGGTACTGTTCCAGTCTGGATACCTTCGGCTCTCTCTGTATTACCAACTTTTACCTACCAAATGTCTGGCGCCGATTTCTTGCTTGTTTATCGACTCGCATAAACCCATCCCTTTGTTCCGTTTACTAATTTCTAGATATACTCCATACTTGAGAGTATGGCCTCATTGAAGTCATTTTCGAACCATCCTCTCGGAACTACTTTTGGTCCTGTTGCTTTCTTTTACCATGCGGGATGGGTCAGAATCACACGTGACATACATGTCATCCATAAATGAGCTACTGTTACTCATGGCCACTGGTTCGTTCTTTGAGCTGGGTAGTTTGGACTCAGCTGTTACCCACCAGCCGGCAGTAAATACCTGGGGCCCCACACTTTATTTCAGCCAAGCTGTGAGTTTTATCTCTAGATAAATAGGCTTTAAGTTAGTCTCACCAGGGTTCAGTTGGAAAGTTAGGGACTCCCTAACTCTGGCACCACATTTTTCATCTTGCGACTAGTGGTTCGCCAAATGTCCAAATCACCAGTCTCCTTGCATTCCCTAAAAAGTGAAAAAGGGGTTACCGTTTGCTCTAAAGATACCACAACTATACGGGGCATGCTTAGGTCAAGTGATATAAGAATATCAACTACTTACGAAAAAGCACCTCCCCGACAGTCATACTACACTGTATACTTAGTTTTATCCAGGCGATCACATTTTCTAAGAAACGAGTCATTGGAATGCCTTTGGGGGCTTCCACATAATTTGCGTGTACTCCAAATATCGGTTTGACGAGTGGTAAAGGTGGTAGAAAAAATCGTTCAGCTGTAGCACCCTCTCGGTGCCCAACTGCCACACCACCTGAAGGAAGCACAAGGGCTAAGATACTGCCTAGCCTAAACAGAGTTCGAGCCACAGTCCTTCCGGTCAGTTATTTCGTTCTCTAACCACGTTAAGTTGGATATAAGAAACATCTTGCAGGCTTGTGCATCCCTCGCCGGGTTGCGGGTCTTCTTAAAACCGATCCAAAAATAAGTAAGATTAGGCTTCTGCACCATGGTGTACTGTCTTCTAGAAAGAACTGCTTTTCAACTTATTGTATGTTCCGAAAATCCAATCTCCTAAGACATCGGTCCCCCCATATTTATTACGCTTAGCACTTTTTTTCCAACTCTGCCACTACTCCCTGTTTTGTGTTTGTCTGCAAGACGTTTCCCCTAAATCGTGTATCAAGTTTTTCTCGGCCATTTAAACGTTTAGGCTGACAAACCAACGTGCAACGGCACGAACTCCTTGTTGTGGTTTTTTGTGCGACCGGACAATTTTTTGGAGTGGAGTTGGTGGTCTGGTGGTTTATCACATGGCTGTTGTTCTGCTCACCGATCTTCGTAGTTGGCTTGCAAGCATGCATGATGACCGTGATTGCAACCAGTGGTAGTTTTTTCATTCTTCTCTAATCTTTCTCTTAGCCCGAAATAGCTCAGTGGCGCGTATTTACTAACTAGAGGGTCCGTGGTTCAAACCCAACCCCGGAATCTTCACTGCTCTTGTCTAGGTTTGGACGGACTGGCAGTATCTAAACCTTCTACCTCCTTTGGGTGACGGCAGACAGGCGCCGAAAGTCTTAGTTATTTATTTATTTACGATTATCTCTTCCTTGACTAACTCACAAGGTCAACAACAGGACTGTTTGTTGATAATTTTTTGCATTATTACAAACGTTTTCAAAATACCGTGGAATTAATCTATGTGATTCTAGATGCACTCAGAGTTAGGGTACTCTGGCTGTTTGATAAGGTTTACGAGAAGCCATGTGGTCAATCCAGGGTCTAAGCTGGCTAGAGGCAAACACCGCAATGTTAGTTTCACGCACATACTATGGTCACAAGAAGGCAGATCCCAAATTTTGTCCCAAACATCAACATCAACGGTAAACGTTCATGTACCGCACCGAAGTAGGTCCTTTCAGCCAACATCCTTCTCATCAGCTGATGGGTTGTGTTTTAACTAGCTACAAACCTCTCTTCAGTACTTTAATGGCGCGAATGAACTCACCAACAGAAAATACAACATATTTTTTGCAAACAGACGGGTGCAGGATTACGAGAAGCAACGCGGTATTTAAAGCGCACTTTTTACTTTGAGTCCAGGCTGTTCGATCGGCGTTGGATGATTGGTTGGCATTACCTCTATGACACGCCCGTTGCTTCTATGGTATGCCTGAACACTCACCGTCATCGGCCGCTGGTGAACTGATTGCTTGAGCGTCCAATCAGAAGCTGGCTCTTCTGTCCTGAATGCTTCCCAGCAGCGATTTCGGTGGGGCCTGAGGGTCCTAATAGGTTCGGGGCATTCTGAAATCAATTTCAGGAATCTGGCCTTTCTGGTAGGTTACTTTTTGGGAACTGAGATCTCGGCCATGCTCGTCGAACGTTAAATTAGGTCAGCAATTTAGGCCAACTTTATTAGTGGTACAAGGTGGCTCCTGCAGATCTTCTTTTAAGCTGCATACCGCCTACCAAGTGTAAATCGGTTTCAGCTGCCGCAGTTTCAATTGCCACTTTTTCCTCCGACGTCAACCGCCGTGTATGCCGCCGGAACTGGTGTGAATCGGATTAAATACAACCGGGTTTGGAGAATAGCAGGAGAACCTTTGTTAGCTTCATCGCATCTCGGATCATTACAGCAGGTGTGACTGAAGTCTTCAACCTACTGGCCTCTTTACCGACTATTTTGCTCATCTTTTGGAGTCAGCTGTTTAAATCACAGTATTGATTAAACGTTCGATTCCTCTGCGGGACTGCGGTCTCCGTTGGTTGGTTCACCGGAAGTTAGTACCAGTCATGTAGTGGATAGACCTGGTCTTACTCTTGTCAGTTGGCCTTACTTTGCACATCACAATGAACGCACCACGAGACCACAAGTGTGTGAAGCTTTTCGAGGTTTTTCCCACCTCGCTTCACTCTGCATACAACACGTCGATTTGTCAATACATGCCTGAGCGAACATGGAGATTTCCTATCAACTCTCATCAATCATCCTACTTTAAATGCTTCGAATCGATCAATCACTCGACTCGTACCCCATCCAGCCAAGGTAGTTCTACTGTTAGCAGTGTCGAAGTCATTCCTCCATCATCTCCGACACCCCCCGACAACAGCCTATTCTATTTGTATAATTCATCCCACCGGTGCTTCGATCCCATAGCGTGTGTGCAAGACTCCAGCATGCGACCAGACCAACTTGCTCGCACATACGTCCTTTCTTACTTACCACCGTTTAGACACACCGAAGAGGTGACTCCGAGAACGTTACGTGCCCGCCGACTTGAAAACTACTTTTACCACTACCCTGCGGGGGACTGTATTTCGACAGCTCTAACCCATTCGCATGTAAAGCCTGAGGTGGAGGCAGGTTCTACCGATTTTCCTCCTTCCGAATGTAATTTATCCTCTCGGCTTCAATGTGTTCGTACTTCTCCGCCACCAAAGGATCCTTGCAGCGGGCCAGTGGTGGTGCCCGCTCCCCTTCTCAAGTCGTTTTCATCTGTACCTTCTGGACTCAACCATAACTTTGGATCTGACTATTCTCCTTCCGTTATCCGTCGACGCTGTCAATCAGTGAGTGGATTTACTGAGTTAACCTTCAGGTGTCATCAGGGTATACGCACCTCGAAAATTGTCGCTTCTTCAGTCGATATGACGCAAACCAAAGTCAACTTGTTGCTGCTGGATGGGACCAAGAGTAATAAATCCACTCCTGGTCTTGAAACCCATCTTTCTCAACAAACATTCCCTTCGGATAGTACAGATGTGTCAATTTCGATTCCACGTTCGTCTTCACGTTGCTCCTCTACATCGTCAGCTGGGAGCTCACCTCAGCGTGTTGATGCGTTTTACGACCTCGTTCCTCCGTATATTGCCGAAAGTGACTCTTCCTCATCGTCCACGGAAGTACCCCAAGCATCGAGCCTCTTCAGACAGCTTACGCGTTCTCTGTCTACCTGTCATATTAGCGTCCTCAGACAAAGTGATGTTAATTCATCTTATATTTGTTCCAATTCTTCTATTTCCCCAACTCTTGTTTTACCGAACCCACCAAGTGGAGCGGCAGAATCGATCCATTCAAATGATTTTTGTATATACTGGCCACCTACACCCAGTATGGTATGCAACAGTACAGAAACGGCTGAAGTCCCTGTAACCCCTCTGCAGGCAAAAAATGCTAAGCGGTTCGTGGTGTGTAAGGATGTTGTAAACGTTCTCATCACTCCATATGATACATTGCTATCACTGTCTCCAACCCAAATGTCCCCACCGACGGAGGTCATTATATCTGACTCTCCAGCCCGCACTGGACTTCCTGAGGATTTCCCTAGAACGGAGAAAATTGATGCTTTTGGCGACCGCCCGAAATGCAGTAGACCTAGGTCACTTTCCCACTCGGAGAGCTGTACGTCGACTACTATACATTCTGTTGATCTAACCTGTGGTTTTCTCGTATCTTCAAGTAAAGCATGTTGTACTGGTAACGTCTACGGGCGAGGAGACTGCACGGAGGCGGTTGCAGCTAAACCCCCAGTTCCTAGAAAAATCGTATCGTCTCAACCATCGTCTCCGGTTCTGTCGCAGAATGTGGCGGGGTCAAATATGCGTTCTTGTGACATAAGGTCCACAAAGGGATTTCCCAAAATAACCGGTCGTTCTGCAAACCGGACTTTGCTCACTTTACCCATCCCATCCTGTCTCACAGATGTTTACGCCTCGATTCACGCGGTTAGTATTGTAACGAGCTCACCAGGTCTGCAACACCGTTATTCTGCATCAATGGACTCGATGCCTGACCACTACGCTTGTGGGTCGCTCACGTCGTTACCAAGAACGGAGCTCTTCGCACAACCGGAAACCTCCACAATCTCACATGTTTTCGCCGTCCCAGATGTTTGTGGTCTTTTACAGTCTATTTCTAACTACGGCAGTCCATTATCCCCTTCCACTCATGGACAGAAAAGCTCTCTTTGTGGGACGCAAGGAAGACCGACAGATCGTCGTTTGCTTAGAATATTACAAAGGTACCCTCGATCACGCGCTGACATGTTAACGGAAACGCAGCGTTTATGCGGGGTGGAGTACGGGTTTTTAGCACTACACACGTCGTCGTGGATTCAAATGATGCGGCTAACTCGTGATATCGAGCACTGTTTTCCCCATTGGCAACTTACTCGACAATTGCATAGAAATCCTGATTTACAATCCAATCGCTCTCTATCGCTCAGTTGTGTTTGATGGCCACATTCCTGATCCCTTAGCTGATGGGCTGCATGCCGGGAGTATCTCAGTCTATCGCGTCAGTACTCAGTTGGATTGTCGCTTGTGCAACTCTACACAATATGTTACTATTTTGGTGGCCTAATTTCCTCTAACTACATATTATTCGTAGTCACCACTGGAGATCTGACCTGATCGTTTGCTATTCTGATTTTTACTAGCACTCATCTTGCTCCGTTACCATGTCAATGAGAGAGCCATTTCACTTCACTGCTTTCGACCTTATGTCCCTGCTGGTGTGGTAGTGATCAGTAAATTCATCCATATTCTTCACGTTTGACTTGTAACGTTCAAGAGTCTGAGGTCTCAGCATACCCCTAATCCACAGGATAGATATGCTGATGATTGTGGAGAAACAGACTGTGCTTCTGTTTATACCAATCAGTCTACCGATCTTTGGAGTATTGTAGCTCCACACTACGCCATAAGTTTTTTGGTTTAAGGAACACCGGTTGTGGTAGCCTTTTTAGTTTCTGAGTACAATTAAGTTTGCAAGGAAACACACTGGTAGTGCACACTTGAAATCGATATCCCTTACCTTGCTCTGTGGTAACTCTTACAACCGGAACGATATCTTTGATACCTAATAACAGAATGTCCAAGTAAGCAGGGCGAAGTCGGAGCCGTTCTTCCATACAGTGCTAGTAAAATAAAGACCTTGATCCTCGAAAAGGACGCCGATCTCGGTGGTAGGTGTGCATCAATTAATCTTAAATTATGAATATATGAATAACGCAAGGCTCAAGTATATGAGACATTCACTTGTGCTAGAAGGTTGCCATAAATGACCCAATTCCTCAGGGTCAACCAAACGGGGTAGACCGGAGCAAAACACCAGTTTGATATGCAGGAATTACAAACAGGGATAATTTACAGTGGCCGAACAAAACACGTTACACGTCAAGTTCATAGCATGGGACCAGTGTGGACCCTGTGTTTGTCTTACCGCGGAAGCGGTCCTAGTTCACCTTTGCCACAGCTGCCGACCTCGATAAAGTACAAGCCTACTATTGTCTACCGAGTTTGCACACCTTCTAGGGTTATCTCTCGATCATCATCAAGTTAGGTCCGACATCTAGGAACCTGTACGATAGTGAACCATCAATTTTAACACTGATGTTGCTGTCTCTGGCGGTGATGCTGATTTAGAAACGTATTGTCATTCATGTCAAGCGTGAAATGAACGACTCCTAGGTTTGCTGGCACTCGACTGCGTCAGGTTAAGACATAGAACTCCTCAGCGTGTGTAGGTTTCAAATTTGAATTACCCTTGTGATCAAGTCAAGAAAGCGACTTGCAATGACCAGGGCGTCACTTTTAGTCTCCACTCCAATAGTTTCCCGTGTCCTCGCTGAGTTGCATGGGACCGGTCGTTTCCGAAGCGTGCGGAAAGTCCAGTGGTTGTCTTAGTTCATTTCACTTAAAATGCCAAGTACTGTTACGGATAAAAACACGTAATATGAGAGCTTCCAAGTAGGTAAGGCGAATCAGGGGCTGGGTTCTTATTAAAGTAGCATTAATGTGAGAAGCGCTGGTTCACAGAAATCTGCGAGCTCGTTTGTACTGAGTAATCCCGAATATGTTATATTGATTTAGGCAAATTAGACAAAAGAGAGTTAGGCTCACACGACATTCGTGCGTGCTCGAAGGCATCTAGAAATTTCCTGAAAGCTTCAAGGACGGTGCACTCTAGTTCGCGTGTGCGGACGAAGGAGTGGCTACCTCATGAAGAATGAGACGATAATTGTTAGCTTTTTGTTTGTCATATAACTGTAGGTCTTCAACGTCTATCATACAGTATTTGTACACTGTAAGTGAGAAACAAAATACCTCGTTGGATTCAGGTTCCAAATCCTGTCGGTGTCCTTTCTAGGCATCAACTCATGTAACTTTGTTTCTTCTATTCTCATCTGAACTACTAAGAAGCCTACAGTAGTCAAGATTAACAAGTGATTCCAGTGGCCGTCGACGCCTGTGGCCTGCGGGTAGGAATTGATTTCCGAGCGTACATTAGTACTACTTAACTTTTGCACTTACTGCGGCACACGTCCATAAAGCATGAGCAGCTGACATTGAACTTAATTTCCCTGATTCCAGTCAGCGCTATTACTCATGATCATGTTTCCCTTGGACTTAGCTTCATACGGGATTTTCCTCTGTAATTTAATACTTTTTCATCAGGCACTCACTGTCACATTATGACGCATCACGTTTCAACCTCATCATTGGAAGAAATGCGTACGCACGTCTGAGCCCCCGAATAATCTTACTTCCTTGGTAACTGTTCGCATATTCTTTTCGCTTGGAAAGCTTTAGCTTTGTCTTCAGTCCAACTGTCCTGCTTAACTTAGCATGTTGTAAACAGTCCAGTACACTCTTGGCTCTTTCATTCCAGGCTCTGCGTGATCGAATTCGAATTGTGACAATATTCTGGGTAAATGACGTACTTGCCAAGGGCCGCTTGTTACCTCCTTACGAAATACTACACTTGCCGTCACCATTCTCGAGTGATATCACCTTTTCATTTATCAAATCTCAGGTACGTTTCGTCTCTTCAAGGAGCAGTAATTTGTGGTCATTCAGCGGTATAAAATCATCAGTGGGCTATAGCCCACTGGTATCTACGTTGAAAGAAATCATCTCCAAATGGCTCACCAACAAAGGCAAAAAATTCGTATAGATTGCACGCGATACAAAAGAGAATGTGACGCTCAGTGCTCTCTCGTCATTAGTGTACAGTGCTGTCGTTCATGTTTTATTTTCTTTTTACCCCAGTTATGATGCGTTCATTTACCTGTTGCCTTTTTAGATAATCTCTCTCACCGGCTTTGAGGGCAAGGATCGTTTGAAAGTTGAATTCTTGATTCGACAACTGGGTGCATCGTTTACCGACTATCTCGAACCGTCGAACACTCTTCTGGTTTGTAAAGCGTGAGTTCTCGCACACACCAATTTCTGGCAACAGTCCAGTTGATTTGCTCACCCAGTGATTTATTACTTCCATCTGGTGGCTGTTGATCTGTTCGCCGAGCTTTGCAATTGATTTGCAAACGTTTTGTCACCATTCGAGGAGACATCTTCAGTGTGCTGAAGATTTGAGCACCGAATATCTCTTCGAATAGGGACGAAACGTTTGCAAATCAATCGTGAAGGTCGGCGAACAGATCGACAGCCACCTGATCAAGTACCAATTACTTCCATCTGTTTTTCAATGTTCCTATTCCTCTTAAGGAATTTTCATGATTCTGTTTGATGCTTTCTTTAGCCCTGAAGGCAAAAAGTACGAAATGGCGCAGTTGTGGAACATACCTTGTGTGAACATCCGTTGGCTGCAGGACATCTACTTTGGGGACTTGACTGCCTTAGCTCTTGATTTGCCACACAAATACCTATCTTTCGAACCAGCCGACGTGACGACCGCCCTGGAGAGGTGTACACCACGTGTACAGGAATTAATGGGTCAGTGCTGTTCCCTTTGTGTATATTTATTTATGTTTTTCTCTTACTTCACGGAGATTTTCTCTTGGAGACAGATAACTGGCCTCAAGAATATCTCGGACGGCCGCTACACATCGAGAATGTCTTCATCCACTCCCACTGCTTGATGCCGGTGAACATTAGTTGATGATCAGTCTCAAAGTTAGCAGTTTGGCACTGCGGTTTCCAACTGCCCCTGGTGCGACAGCGGCGTTCTGAACAGGGTAATGGTCAGTGGGAGAGTGGACAATTTTGTGACACTGTCATTAGATTTCTACCGTTCCAAAGTTTCTCAGTATTCGCTAACCATCAAATTCATTGAACTTGTGAAGCTTGTCGGCTTTGACAGGCGAGGTTTCATAGGGGTACTTCAGTACGGGTGAGACAATCACATTGCGTACACGAAGTTTCGTTCGAAGGCTGATTTCAGAACTTCTTCATAGAGCAATGTGGGGCTTAATGGAAGCTTTACTGGCGCTGTTGTTGAGTATACCGTTTTATTGGTGTGGCTACTGAGCTACAAGTGGTTAAACGATAGGGCTGTTAGCTGGTACTGAGCAGCCTAAACCGAGTTCCCTGCTTTTCGTGCATAGTTTTTCATATTTCTCCTATTTATTTCCACTCCAACTATCGAAGCGTGATAGCCGATGCGATAAGGGATAGGCTGTATTTCTGCTTAGTTTTTCGTCAGGATGAGCATACCACGGGCACAGTCAAGGCTACCAATCCCATTCCTATTTGCATTTTCGGAGAATTTATGGGGATACTCTATATTTCTCGGTGTATTTTATGAGCAAACGCGCCTGCCTTTTCAACCAGCGAGATTTAAAGCAAACGAGGTTGTTTCTTCCCCATAGACTTGGATATGGCTTTCATGATTAAGCAACCTATCTGACAAACTGTCAGCTTTCAAGATAGCCCAAAGGTATTCCCTGTTGCCACGCACTAAGTTAATTGCTGGAAATTTCGGCGCTGTTCCAGTACAGGGCTTGGTGTACTGGTATTAACTTGGCTTGGTGTTAGCATTCGGGCATCATTTATTTTGGTGTTCGATCGTTGACCTATTTCCGTAGCTTGACAGTTAGCTTGCAAATGTCTCGTCACCAATCAAGTCGACATCATCAGCGCGCGATTGTGTAGAAATTCTTTCTGATTCAGTCTGATATGGGACTCTGACTCGTCTGTGAGACTAAGTTATACTAAGACTAGTATGGATGCAGGTGGTTATGAATGCGCGCTGCATGCCTTTTTACGTCGTGAGGTTGGAGTGTTCTCAATTTTGCTTGGCACCCAAGCGCCTGTTGTATTTGAACTGTGTTCATCCTCAGGGCTCTGTGTTTATGCATCTATTAAATTAGCCACCACCTCTAATGCACAGCTATCCATCCACCATACCAAATCACTGGTAAACAAAACTGTGGCATCTAGGATCACTGTACAGCAAGTGTGCGGTTTTTGCAGCTGACGATGATGATTCTCTGTGCACCCGTGGCCACTACCGGTTTGCTTCACATTTCATTCGGTCAATCTGTAGTTAATTTTTACCGCAATGGGTTACGCTTCTCACATGTTCGTGAATGTTCCATGTTTCTGCTGATGTTCTAACCGATAAAGGCAACAATAAACCTAGCTGGACGAGACGTGAGTTCTTAGTGTTACTTAAGGAGGATAACAACGGTGAATGTATCGTTCGTTGATTGGTTGATAGGTTCATCATGAGTTGTGTCCTGCCGGCGTATCCCATGCGTTGCGTGCGGGATCTATTCCTTCCTGACACTGAAGGATAGGCTTGGGAGAGATAAGATTCTGATAAATTTGATTGTTTGCGTTACCAGTGTGTATTTCTGTGTATTAAGTTTCTTGAATTCTGATTCGATATTTTCTGTATACTCCGAAGTTTTTTTCTATCCGCATCACTTTTGTGTTGCCATTCCTTGTTTTTTTACTCTAGTCGGGTGGCAGACCCCGATCCGACTCAATCAGGATGTTTGGAATGTGAGTCTTCCTTTTTTCACTTTAACTCTGGCATCTTTCTCTTACTCTCGCGTATCCAGTTTGCTAAAATCCGGCATTTCGAATGTTGTATTATTAAGGCCCAACTGATTCATGAATAAGTGCGGTCATAATGCATGTTGCCAGCAGCCCAGATATTAAGGTTTCTTTTATTATCTGACGAGAATTAAACTAGATCAGACTTTGACTTGGAGGTCGACTTGAGTGGTTCGAAAGTCAAGGTTGGTCTGCTGGTTGAATACCCGGCTTGACGTGCTACACACACTGACAGCTAACATGATCATTCCTACGAGTACAAAAATGACCACAACCAGAGAGACGAGCTAGAACCTCCCTCCAAGCTACCATGGACCACTCGGGCATTACGAGTATGACATGCCTATGAGGCTGCAAACTGCGATGAATCAGTTCGTTTGCTATTGTAACAATATAAAACAAATAATTCTTCAATTTTAATACCCTTTCGGTGCTTATCTGTCATACCACCTGAAGGAAGCACAAGACAGATATTGTCAGGTTTAATGAGTCTACATAAGAGCAGTCGAAGAGCCGAGGCGGGATTGGAACGACGGACCTTCCGGTCAGTAAGTTCGCGCCCTGGCCACAATATTTGAGTTGTCGGAGTGGATTGTCTTGTCGTAACACGCTACTTGTAATTTTTCTGAAATCGGTTGTACCTCTCTTGGGATTCAGCAAGTAGATGTAGCTTCCACGTTTCAACCCTATGATCTGCTTTAGCACCAAACAGCATGCAACTGACGACCTGCATTCATCATCGGCCAGTGGTTATAGGGCATGGAAATTTGGAAATGTAACTGATATTTTTGTGTAATTTTGAACCGCCACTCATAGAAACACAAGCATTTTGTCAGTGGTAAAACAACGTATGTCCGGACTCCGTTCGGAGTTTGCAACTCTAACTGGTTTTAGGAAAATATCCGTTCAACCTGTTAAGATAATATTCTGTTAATTAGATAGTGTGCTTCAAGCACGCAGTATATAGTAGTTCTTTGAACTTAATGTCAAGGAAACCTAGATCAAAATCGAAAGGTTCAGCATGTCATTAGGGTGAGCTGTTCCCACTAATTTGCAAACGGGTTTAGAGGATTTTACATGACAGTTTGTTTTGGTTTTCAATGACCACTTGCATGAAATCACTTAATGACCCCCCGCTGTTCGTGGTGTCCTTGAACAGCCTGGTCGATCAGTTGACATACAAAAAGAATTGCGATAAACTTAGGTACACTTTCGTCATGGCTATTTCGTAAGAATCTTATTTAATCATTCAGCATAAGGCCTTCCACTACGTTCTCAGCCTAGCGCACTCGTGACTTAACGGAACGTCCAGAATATCTTATCTGTCAGGTTAATATTTTAGCTGCCTGAGCTAGTTATTTGCCCCGTTAACTAGACTTTCGCCGTTTTCATCCATCGTATTATTGACAGTATGCATCGTTCCTGTCAAAAACCGGTCTTGATTTTATCAACTACTCGCATTAGTAAACTCTAACTACACCGAATTGTTCTCATTCGTGAACTTGAAGCTATGGGGCAACCACTCTTACCCTAGTTGACTGCAGCTGTACCACAGTCATAGATTGGATCTGTACTGCTCGTCATTTTGTACCGGTGGAATCCTGTTGAACGTCATTATAACCTAGGATACAACGGATATAGCGCGGCAATGCATAGTATTCAAGTTGCATCCCCGCCCTATTCAAATACATATGTCTGATGTTTTTCTAGCCCCTTTCGTTGCATCTGGCTAAATGTGTCGCATGGAGTTATGTTGCCCCAATTACCTGCGGTCTTGGTACAGTCGGATGAGCTAGAGTAAAGGAAGTAATCAGCCGATCCGGACACAGTCGAGACCATAGTAGATGATGCACTTGCAGATACAATGGTATAGTGCTTCCTCTTCAGTGCGGATTGCTCTAACTCCGGCACCCCAGATCTGCCTACTAGAGATTGTTGATGATCAGGCGTATATTTATCAGCTATTGCTGTCGTAGCTTGACTTCTCAATATTTGGTTTGCTTGCTATTCAGTCTACCAATTGTTCCGTTTCAGCGGTTGAACCAATTGTCAACCGACTTTGCTATTGAGGAGCGCGAGCGGAAACGGAAGCTCGAGCTAGAAGTAGTCAATCAGCCGAAGGTCAAGAGAGCTAAGTAAGTGCAAAAAATTTAATTTACTGGTTGTCTTTGTGCGGACGCATACTTGTGGAATAAACTGCGGATTGTAATACTTGAGCCATAAAGATGTTGATTTGTGTAGGTACCTCTGAGGTTTCAGAGGGTTCTTAATCTGTCTCAGTCTTTTCAACTGCTATTAAGAATCGTTCCCAGTGATTTCACCGTCCTTATCATCGCCTGGCTGTTCACGATGGCCCATAATGTTCAATCAGTGGAAATGTCGAACTTTTTGTTACATTTTTTACAACAACACAATGGATCTGTCGTGACTTTGGTCAGCGACTCTGATTTATCGCCACTGTCTTCCCATGCTAGTCATTTTGCGGCCGAACGATAGTCGACCACCGAAACTATCAGCATATACCCAAAATAACGTTACTAGTGTTGCGTCTCTTTGATGTCATTTCACTATTTTGAAGTAACCCTTCTGTATTTGTTGGAGATACCTTACTTAGAATGCTCTTCAGAGGCGATTATTTCTGGTTGATATCTTGAGATTCACTTCAGTGGTGACCTTTCCGTCTTCAGCTTCCACCCTCACATAATCTCTTGAGAAGGTTGTAATAAATACGTTAAGACTCCACGGCGGTCTGTGTCACTGGTGGATCCGGCTTATCACCGGCACAGGGTGAACTCAGCCCACTCGACATCACCTGTTGCAGGCCCAATCAGTACACTGATGTCGAATAGCTCTGTTTGGCTGGGATGGTTAGGAGTGAGAGCTACGCAGTGAAGAGGAAAGCTTTGATAGAAGGCCGTCGTTGGTTGCGTAACAGCTGTATTTGTCACAGTCACTCACCACTGGTTTTTCTCGTTCCGCGGTCCCCATCCAAAGAGACGGCAGTTATCAACGCTTCTAAGTTGACTGGTAAGATCTCTCATGCTCCGTTACCAAATCCTTCAATAACGGTTCATGGGCCGTCTGCACCCGATGCAGTGCTTGGCGAAGAGGGTTGTATTAGGCAAACGATAGGCTGGTATACGAAGCACATGGCCTAACCAGCATAACCTGTTGACTGTGACTAGCTGATCTGTCGAGAGAGAATGAACTTTCTCGAAAACCATCTGCCGTACTTCACGAATGCTGATGTTTTTCCCACCAGACCGGCGTAGCGCTTCGTAGGCAACGATAGCAAAATACAGGAGGTCTTTGAAGGTCTCCCACACACAGTGGCCGCGTCTCTGATCTACAAAGTAGGACAGGCCGGTGCGCGGTATTGTACACTCTACCCTTGACAGTTAGAACGATGTCACGTCAGTGCCAGATGTAGAAGGTTAGCTTTCCTGACTTACCAGGGTCGGGATGCTATTTTGTTTTTCACCAGCCCGTCAAGCTTCTTGCAGCTGCCTAGGTAGACGAACTTATCTGGTAGATCGATCGGTTCATTGAGAAGGGTGAGGTTTGGGTTTGATCGCTCATTCTTGCAGCAGCACTATTTAGTTACACAGTTTGACACAGTGCGGGCGTCAAAAGCAGCACTATAGAATAGGTAATTATATTTAACAAGGGTTTATTTTTAGTTATTTAAGTTGGTAGAAGCTTAGATAGCAAACAACTGTTAGAGGGTTGACAACCAAGTGAGTCAGTAGGAGTTGAGTAAAGGCCGTGTGGGGGGCAATCACTGACGAATCACACTTCCAGGTCGCCCAGACTGAAAAGGGGACTGGTTGATTTATCCTACCTTGTGCTTTTGACTCTGAATTCTGACTCATAAGGCAGTGGGAGAACGTAGGGTTTTGTTCGTAAGTGCCAATAACTCAATTGTCTAACTTTTGACTCGAATTCTGACTCATAAGGCAGTGGGAGAACGTAGGGTTTTGTTCGTAAGTGCCAATAACTCAATTGTCTAACTCATTTACCTGCAGGGGCTGGCCTGCCCCGAGGACGCAGGAAGCAAGTCGCAGTTGTCTGACTCCTAATGAGGCTGCACACGGCAGATGGCTTTTGAACAGCACCAAACTCTTTGGTTCTTAAATCATTTCGGCCGTGTTGAAGAATGCACGGGCGGCCACCTTTAGGCGATCTGAGTGTGCGGGTTTTAGGGCTGACGCTTTCTTGCCCGTCCTTCCTCAGATGAGGTAGATGGATATGCTGGTCACCCGGGGGATATTTTTTACTGCCTTCATATTCCTATCCCAGAGGACCGTACGACTTCACCTCCAGTCTCGTAATACGAATTCTCGCAGTATGGGGATGCGTTGTTCTTCGTCGGGCTGCTCACCATAGCCTTCTTGATATGGTTTTAGCTTGGGGAACGGAATTCCAGTTACTATAGTGTTATATCTTCTGATTCGCCAATCTATGGTATCTGCTGCTGGCCCGCTCCAGCGCTTAATGCCGAAAAAAGACTCAGAAGGGAATACAGCAGCTATATTCCAAACAAGCGAGTGCGAGAGCGTGAGTGCTTGCGAGTGCAAAAGTACAACGGTCTCAAGCTATTTATTTGAGGGACACCGTCTGAACTTGGTCCAATGCTGACGCACAAGTCTGGCTTTTGTATGAGGCTGTGACGTGCTGCATATTGCGGGGGTGTTGTCTGACCTTGATCAACGCTGACTCGCGCTGTCTGGGTTTGATATAAGGCTGTGAAGCGCTGCATAGTGAGGGGGTGTTGTCTGTCTGGTCAACATCTAGCGGAGCTGAGAGTTTCGAGAGTTTCGAAGATTTCGCGCACTCAGTGGTTGCTTTCAGGAAGCTGACCTTCCCTTTATATAGCCTGCAGGGTCATTTCAAAACAGAAACCCAACCACGAAGACAAGGCGACAGCATTGATTCGGGTAACCTTCCCCAATTGTTTCTGTTTCTGCGGTCAGTGTTCGCAAGTCCCTTCAGAACTATCGGATTTTCGCCTTTTTCTGTTGTTCTTTTTGCTGTTTTTTAGGGTGAGGTAACCTCACAAAAAGGTGGCGTCGTCATGGACAACAATGAAAATATGTCCCATGCAGGCAAAATTCTTCTTTTTGGGACACTTGTCGTCGCGTTTTTGAAGTTCTTTTTGCGCTTAAAGGCTCGCTAAGAACATTTTCTCCATGAGGCTATTGCATATTTGAAGATTGTTCCTTACACAGTTATTGTGCTCAGTAGTTTCCATAGGCATAAGTGCGAAGTAGTATCTCGGTGACTGTGCACAAACTCACTACTGCGAACGCTCATTGCGCTTTGCTCTCGTGGTTTACCAAGGTGCAATACCGATGTGGCTAGCACGAAGTATAGGGCCGCGCTGTGTTATGCTCTGACTGTTATGCTTTTCCTTACTAGATATCAACTTGATCCATTGTCTGATGAGGATGTCAAATTGGCCATGTCTTGTCGCACACGGGTGGAGCTGTTATTGTCTCAAGTCAAAGAGAGGCAGGATTTACAGGCTACTTTCAAAGAGTTCCTGGCACATTACGTTTCAGCCGAAGAACAATCTCCAGCGCAACTTCTCGAAGTGCAAGCTTTTGTATCCAATGCTACCGTGCCTGTTATTCCACGTGATGGCGACATACAACATTCAGTTGCATATTCTGATACCTTGGCTATGTCTGAAGCGTCAAACCAATTGTCAAAACTAGAGAGCCCAGCTTTGTTATCATCTACTTTAATGACAGATTCGACTGCTGTCACTGAGGCGGAAGTAGCCCAGGTACAAGAACCAGAGTGTGTCACCGAGAGTTCTACTCCATCAGCAGAATCTAATGCACATCAGTCCCCAGAAGTTCATGAGGGTGCGCAGAAAACACTAAACCAGCAGCTGGTCGAAGATATCCCGAATGATGAAAAGCCCATAACCTCCATCAAACCATCCGAATCGCCTGTTCATGTGAGTTCTTTCCCGCAAGGAACCTTCATAAGCGATGGGTTGACCACTGTTGATAGTTTACACTGTATGTGCAAACACTGTACGCCAATGTTCTTATGTGACTGGGGAATTTCTAATGCTGGTGCCCTCTCCCACAGTTCTTAGAAAATGGCACCAAGTGAAACTTAATCAAACAGATGAAACCTTACACCAGGTGAAAGCAACGTAAGCAGAATGACGACCATTTGTGAATAAGAGGTCACAGCGGTTTATTTATAATAATGCGTTGATGCATTTCAAAAACGCGACATGCTAAGATCAGATGCTTGGGAGTGGTTGGTTTAATTCACACAACAATATGCTGTGCGACGCCTGGTATCTTTTTCGAAGCTCATCACTTTTGTGTCAACCGAATGCACCACTGTTGACTTGAGCCTCACAGGACCATTGCTCACATTTTTCATGCCGATGAACTCAATATAGTAGGCTCTGTCTAATCTAATCCTTGGTTAACTTGGTTAAGAAACCCGAATATTCAAGTTGTCAATCCCAACCAGCTGTATCCTGCACGGGGTATTTCGTTAGCTAACTAATCTAGCTGAGAAACAGATGCTGGTGTAACGGTGATACTACTAATGGGGAGGCACGCGAATAGTATGTGTTTTTCGTGGAATTTCGTTTTGCGTTTCTTGAAAAGGGGAGATCTGTCGCGGAATTTGTGGAGTCGCTTTGTAACATTTGCTTGGATTTGAGCGAGGATTGATTGGAGTTTATGAATATCCAGGGAAGCTCAAGGAGACGCGTTCAGGAGAAGATGGATGTCCAGTTTTTGTAAATAAGATGCAACTGAGAGTTTTGCATCCCCGTCCAATGGTCTGTAACAGGTCAGTTGGCATTTTCTAATAAACAACTCCGCAGCCAAGGCCTTCATCCTTTCACTGGTAGCATCAGTGGCCAACAGCTCTGCGGAAAACGCTTATAAGATATGTGCGAGAGACATCGGTAAGCTGTGAAATCACGGGTCCGAAATTGATTCAGTTGCTACTTTTATTGGTGTCCGAAACAATGAGTAGTACGAGTTCCCGTAGTATTCATTAGCTTTCATTCAGTGGACGTAAGGAACGGTGGAAATAATCAAACAGATCAGCTTCATGCATGCTTTATACGTCAGATATGGTGTCTTCCAGATGGTCTGTGTTATTGCACTACTACGGTAATTTATTAAAAGCACTTACATCTGTAGACATCCACCTTGCCTCTTTGGATGACTGCTATTCCGAAGCGGAATTTCTGTCGAAATTTTGTCGATCACTTGGCGACGTTTCTGTTTTTGATCTCAACTCCACTATATTTAGTTTTGGGGTTCCCAGTGACGTTTTCTAGTTCAATGCTAGACAGATATTATTAGCATACTTGTGAGGACCACTGTATGCAGACCGGCCCCTTCATGTTGTGGAAAGTGTTGCTTTCCTATATATCGTTATTGTTAGTAAACAAAGAGCCAGTTCGTGCATAGGATTAGTGGTACGTCTGTGTTTGTTTCGGAAGAAAGACTTAATAACGGAAACGCTGGCGAACATGCTATCATCGTTGAAGTCGTTCCTGGTGTTTAGGATCATCAAGCTTTTCCTTGAGCGAAGAATTCCTTGTCCTCACGGAACCTCTTTTCTACATTTTAGTTTGCCCTCAATTGTTTATCAGCACAATTGACGTCCTCAGTGCATATCTTAATCTCTCTCATGCACTCAATAAAGCGTACATGGTCCTGGATTATTGAACACTCGGAATCGCTAGCGTTTCGGTTTCGCATGGGTGTCGCACTACAGAGAATACACTTTATGAGACATGCATCAGTTGGTGCTTGGAAGAGAGCGTTGGATCGATAATTCAACCAAACATTAGAGCCCACGAATTCCTATGATTTTACCCGAACTTAGGGCTGGTTGTTCCCTGTTAAACACAATTAATCGAGACGGGGATGCTTCACTAACCGAAGTGCTTTGGTGATCCGATCTTTCTCCAGGTGCGCCGGGAAACAATCGTAATATCAGAAGCCGTGTCGAGCTGCAATCGCATTGTGCTTCCGTTTGCTCTGATTGTGACATACTTGCGACGAGCATCGATTTGGTTATCAAATGTTGCAAGTATTGCGTTAAAACGAAGTTCTGATTCGCTCCGTTTGCTTCGTGACCTCCGAGTCTGACTGCGTCTTTGGCTAGCTTTCCGCGTCCGGCACTGGCTTTCCTTGTGCCCACGTCAATTGCACACTGAACATTTGTGCTTTTTATACGGACACAATCGCACAAAATGCCATTCGCCACATTGCCAGCTTGCTGAAGGAGGCTTTGCTCTATTCGGCTTTGTCACCACAGGATGTTGCTTCGATGTCGTCTTGGCAATGTTGAAAACAGGGTTGGATAAGGGCTTCTCCAACATGGCCGTGTCATGCCTGAGATTTAAAAGGCGCTGGCACTCATGGGTAATAGACTGCAGCGTTATCTCGGGAGTTTGTTCAGTCTTGCTCAATAGTCTCGCCCTGATATCACTGTCTGAATGCGACTGAAGACCACATATGAAAATAAGGCACTTGAACTGGTCTTCCGTCATGGTAGATACCTTGAATTGTTCGCACTCAAGGTTGACTCTACCGGCATAAGTGATGTAGTCCTCAGATTCCTTTTTCGCCAGCTCCATACATTGGTAGCGAATATTAAACAAGGACGAACGCTCACCGAAAATCATTGAAAGTTGCTGCACGGTTTTGTCAAAACTGAGATCTCGCGTGTTCTTAGGCAGGATAAAGTTGGAATACCGTGTGTGTTCCGTTGTGCCAAGCTTTCTGAGCAATTAGCGTACTCTCCAGGTATCATCTTTGTGCTTCATTTCGACTTGGAAAACATCTTCGTAACGTCTGAACGACGAATCGATGGTTAGACCGGCATCAGGGTCATAATGGAATTCAGTGATGCTGTTGGCGATCGAGTCGACTGAATTTGTATCTGGAGCGGAATTTGGTGGTTGAATTTTCAGTTACTGTGTCAATGTTTCCACCAAACGTAATTGCGCCGCTTCAAACTGGTTTTGTTGTTACAGCAGAATTTCTTTCAACGCTCCAGCAGTTATTGTCATGATTCTGTGGGTTCGGGCGTCGCCAATCTGTTATATCTGCTTATTCGTCGGCCTGTGGTATTTCCTGCTGACGCGCTCCAGTGCTTGGTGTCGGAGAGAAAAAGGCTCGTGGAAGGGAACACAATAGCTATATTCCAACAAAGTGGTTGCGAGAGCGCGAGTGCGTACGAGTGCGAAAAGTACAACGGCCTCAATCTTTTTATTGGAAAGACACTGTCTGAACTTGGTCCAACGCGGTCTGGCTTTGGTACGAGGCAGCGACGTGCTGCATATTGCGGGGGTGTTGTCTGACCTTGATCAACGCTGACTCGCGCTGTCTGGGTTTGATACAAGGCTGTGACGCGCTGCATATTGAGGGGGCGTTGTCTATCTGGTTGACATCTAGCGGACCTGAGAGTCTCGGTAGATTTCGCGCATTCAGTGGTTGCTTTCAGGAAGCTGACCTTCCTGATACTTATGTTTTGCCGATTCAATTAAGGATAATTTCAGACGTGTGATACATTTCACTCGGACTGTAGAATCAAGTGGTCGATCCGAAAGTGTTTATGAACGAATAGATAGGTCGATACCTAGTCAGTTATTTGTGTGCGAATGAGCAGGGCACGGGTGGTCTTGTGTAGGTTCTCGATTACGACGTAAAATCAGTTAGGTTTCACTGTCCTTCCGAAAACTCAACTGGCATGATTTCGTCGGGATCTGTCTTGTAACATTTCAGAGACACAAGCTTCTGTTCTTGGACGTGTGCTATATTTAGGCAAGGTGATATTGATTGAGAACATGCATTCTGTTCCCGAGATTGATTTGCTTAGATCTGACATTGTTGATTTCATTTCCCGTTGTTTCCTATAACCTGCGTTTTCCGTCGGTAAAGCTGGTAATTTCGGGAAGCATCAGTGAACTTTGCTCCACGTGAGCGTTCGCGCACTTGTGCGCTTCATCCGAAATCAACGCGAACAGGGTAACTCATAGTTCATCCCTAGTAGCCCCGGAAAACCGGTCTTAAATCTCATGTGGAATAGACGTAATAAATCGCAAATATTTCTCGGTTGTTCCAGACCTATTTTTTATGAGCAAGCTTATTACGTGTAGATTAGACCCCAGGCATACTCCACAGAACGTTTAGCCGGGAAAAGTTCGTATTTTGTGTACTTTTATGTATTATTTCCAAAAAAACGTCTGTATCACACTGTTAGGTTCGGAGTTGCGCTGATCGTCATAACCTCACATCAAGGTATTGTAAGCCAGGCCCATTATTGTTAAAAAATAACAACCTTCTTTGTGTCTCATTTCTTGGTGTTTGCTGTACAGAAACTTATTCTCTGGCATTCTAGTTGAAACTGAGTTGCGTTTCGTTTACCGTATTGCATATTGTGGCTACTTCACCCCACCCCTGAACCAAAACCACTCGCCCCCGG